TTTCTTTCTTTCAACTATTCAGCCATAGATATTTAAAAAATAAATGTCTTTAAATTTCTTATTCAGCAGCATTTCTTATTTAATTAAGGCTTAATTTCAGACCCCGTTTCTTCTTCCTTTGAAGAAAAGAAACCAACCGTTAAACGATAAAGTTAATGCATCTCGGTTGAAAACTTGGAAGCCACTACATATTTTCGGTTGCTGATAAATTCAACATAGATTGTCTGGAAAATGTGATAGTCTTTTCGCATTCTCGGTTATATTCATCCTTTGTTTAGTCTATAAATTGTTAATTTAAACACAATTCGCCACTTTTGGATCCCGTTCAAAAGCTCCTACAACATAACAATGGGTAAATTTAAATTTTATGATAAGTTTCGAATAGCATTTTCCAATGTGCATTGCTGAGTTACTCAACTGAAACGAATCCTCCCATCTGCATTTTGGAAGATTGCCAAGAATTCATAATGTAATTTGTTACAAGACTTTATATGCAAATTAATATCTTTTATAAGAAGATATATGGTTATTATAACACTAGACCCCCTTTGCCTTATCGAAACACTGATTTAATTGTAAACAAAATAACTGATTCGTAAAATACTCGATTCAGCCTATTTTGAATCAAATTTCTTTGGAATTATTGTTGGATTAGGAAACAACGTAGAATGTGTGATTGCAACTGTTTTTACAGTTATTAGACCCTTTAATAATAGTGAACTCAATATCGATTTCTTTCTAAAAACAGTACAAAGAGAAATATGAATCACAATAATGATATCTTGGAAAAATACGAAATTGGAAATTAATTATTTTTATTAATTTAATTTACAATTGTTAACTAAAGTGATTATTATAACGCTAGAAGCCCTTTGCCTTATCAAAACACCGATTTAATTGTAAAAAAATAACTGATTCGTCGATTCAGCCTGTTTCGAATCAAATTTCTTTGGAATTATTGTTGGATTAGGAAACAACGTAGAATGTGTAATTGCAACTGTTTTTACAGTTATTAGACCCTTTAATAATAGTGAACTCAATATCGATTTCTTTTTAAAAACAATATTAAAAAGAATACAAAAAAGAGCATGAATCATAATAATGATATATTGAAAAGATATGAACTTAGAAATTAATTATTTTTACTAATTTAGTTTTTAATTGTTAATAACAATGTCTAAGTTCAGCGTTCAGTTAAAATGATTTTAAAGCATTTTTCTATGTTTTTGAAACTTAAAGACCAAGCATTTTCCAAAATTTAGAAATTTGATGACTTAAATCTGATAAATTGTTGTATAAGGTAGTTGAATTTATTTTTCTTTCGTTTTTTAGTAATTATTAAATTCCCTATGCTTTACATGATTTTATGCTCAATAAAAATATGGGACTTACTTTTTAATGCAGTATTTTTCGAAAGCTAGCATAAAAATTTATAAAGCACTCTTTTATTCATTTTGTTCATTTATTTTGTTCATTTATTTGTTTTCAGAAATTTTTTTACCTCTGCAAAAATTATCTACTCCTCCTTGAGAAATAAATGTGACAAAAAATGAGCAAAACTGTTTTTTTTTAATTATTATTTTACGAAAAATTTTTGCTTCAGAACAAATTAATAATATATTATAAATATACAACTTTTTTCAGGTACATTAATAAAAAAAGCAAATTAAAAAAAAAATTATATATATATATTATATTATATTATATTATATTATATTATATTATATTATATTATATTACATTACATTACATTACATTATATTATATCTTCAAATGATTGGGAAAGAAATAATGGAGAGTTATATGGTTGCGCATTTATAAAAACATTACGTTTTTTTCTACTTTAAATAAATAGTTGTTTGATAATGGATTATACTTGAATAATATTATCTGAAAACGTAAGCATTATTGCTAAATTTATTGGTTTTTAATTTATTTGCGATAAAATTAAAATAAGAAGTTACACATGCTAGTTTCAAAATGCACTATAAATTTTCAAATGTTATAATAAAATTAACAGATGTGCACAAAATAGCATATATTTAATTTTTATTATTTTTTTCAACGCGGTGCTTTAAATTAAAAGCAATATTCGAAATTAATGATTAATAATCATGTCATTTCATTAATAATTGTTCTTTGTAAACGTAGTTATATCAAGTTGAAAGAATATTAGCTCAATTGTAAAAATTATGAAAATTAACTACATTAAGAGACATTTCTTTTGAATTGCAGTGAATTTTACTAATAATTAATTAATACACAAAATATACTTTTAATTAAAGTAGCTCTTTATGCTTTTATTTTTTTTCTTCACATCATGCTTTAATTACTAAATGGATTTAATTCAGACTAATTAATTTAATATAATTTGTTTTGAAATTAATGAATTTAATTTAGTTTGAAATTTCTTATAAGATTATCTGTTTTTAATTTTTTCCATGCCTAAGCAGTAGGTGTTTCAGCTACTTTGATTAAAAGTAATTTTTAAAAAAAATATATTTAATCAATTTTTTTATCATTAAACTATTGTTTCTCAAAGAAGCTTTTATTATAAATACTCCTTCGATTACTGTTCTTTTTCTTTATTTTTGCAATTGAAACTAAAATCTAAGATTAAAATACAGAATTATATATTTAAACTGAATCACATTACCTCACTTCTAAACTTTATTACATTAACTCATGATATTGCAGTTCCATTTGAAAAAAAGTTTAACCAATTTTCAAATTATTAAACCTTTTTAAGGAGGAAGTAAATAGTCACCTTGTATCAATGTACCAATATTGTGGTTCAATGCTGAATCAATTTTTTTGAATGTATGAATGAATGTTCTAAGTGAGCATTGAATAAGTAAAAGGAAGTTAATATATTTTCTATGGAATATAGAAAATATTTATCTTCCAAAACGTGAATTTAAAGAAAATTACTTTATATAAATGAATTTTTTAAAGTTAACGATACATTACTAACGATGAAGTCAAAACTATTTTAAGTATTCATAGCCGCAAAGCAAGTTTGCATTAGCATTTGTGAAAAAATTGGAAGCTACCAATTACGATTTTACGAGACTTGAATAAAGAATATAAAACTTTTTGAATGCAAAACTTTAAGGGTAAAAAAGATAAGCAAAAATTATTTTCTCACATTATTAAGATGAAGAATATTTGTGACTTGAATAGAAAATGTAACTCATCCAATGAAAAAGAACACAAATTTTTCTGACAAAAATAGTATCACAAACAAAAAGTATGACATATAAATAATCTCAAGTTGGAGAATATTATTTACAAAAATGTTAACGGCACTCAAATAGAAAATAACAATGTTTTGAATGCAAAAATATAATTTTTAAAGAGAAAAAAAAAGTCAAAATTAGTTTAATTTATTTAATGACTAATTAATGTAGAATTTCAATATAATAATGCATATTATAATTAACACTACTAACTTTATACGTTTATAAAATATTATACTGATTTCATTATTAGCGGATAGCTTAATATTCGTTTACTTTTTAAGCTTAATTAGTTTAATCACATGAGTAGATCTTTATTGAAATCGCATTTCTTTTTATCTATATGTCTAGGAAATTTCGAGAATATTTTTTAACATTGAAGTTTGCAAATGTGATGTCTGATAATATAATGAAGTGTAAGTTTAAAATAGTCCATTATTAATGATAATATATTCCTTTGTAATGTCCTTTTAAATGTCTCTATTCTCTGTCATGGAGTTTTTGAATCATATTGTCCCTGTTTTTTTTATTAGAAAAAATAAAAATGCTACAAACTTTTTTTTACTCAAATCAATTAAATTGTCTTCAGAGTTAGTTTTTTGAGTGATCGAAATATTCCCTTCATTTATTAATATTTCCGTTCAGTTGACAATGAAAAGCTTCTGTAGTTACTTTTTGTTAAACATTAAATACATTTCTTTTATGTTCGTTTTGCAATATTATCCTTATTTGAATAAAAGATGAGAAATTTAAGCAACACAAAATATTATTATGTTTTATTAGCTTTTATAAAAGAATAGTTTTCTTTATTCATTAAAATATATAACTGATAAATATTATTATTTTTCTAATAATATATTGAGCTATTTTTACTTGATTTATTATATTATATTATTAAGGATTTAATTTATCTAGGCGTATTTTGTAAAAATACCGAGTAATTTAAAAACTCTAAAATAAACATAGAACATGGACACATTTTAATTGAATAAGTTATAAAAAGGGCAACAAACTTAGCAAATGATAATGGGTATTGTCATATTTTTAAAGGTTATATTTGGTGCATAAATCTCAGAGGAATATTATATAATTGATGCTCAGAGTTAGTATTACAAAAATAAAATTTAATTAAAATAATTCAATGTCAGGTATAAAAATTGCTTAATTTTCTTAATTAAAATATTTTTATTTTCTTTGTCATATACAGATTTAATGATCTGCTGTAATATATTAGATTTTTGGAATCAAATTAAATAAAATGAATAAATAATTATAATACATTTTCTGACATATATAGCATTTGTTATTTTTTATATAAAATATGAATACTTAAATTTATTATGAAACATAACTTTATACATTTATGTAAAAAACGCTAACGTATAAATCAATCAGAAAAGTAAGTACTTTCGGAATAGCTCAGAACATAATCCATTTTTAAATATGCGACAAAATGCGACATTTTCCAGTATGTGTCACGTTTAAGAAGAATGATTAAAAAATCCCGAATAAAAGAGAAAAAAAAGCAGGAAAAAAGGGAAAATAGAAAAATTCGTTCTCTCCGATGTTGTCCGGAGGAACACCCTTGGGCGGCAAAGAGGGCCCTTCTCTTCCGCATCTCCAATCCCTTTGATCCCGCCGACACCCCTAGCCGGTGTGTCAAGAAGGGATGATGAGGATAGAGGGGTATGTGTCAGGGGGCGCATGCGCAGGAAAGGGGGCGCGACGGGCGGAATCCCTCCAGCGCGTGCCAGTGAGCGCGTGTGGTTTGACTGACCAACATGGCTACTTTGCAGAATGGGGTGGCGGAACACAAACACCCGGTAACCTGCACCCCCACCTGCGGCACGGCTAAAGAGCAGGACGCGATAAAATTGTTTGTCGGCCAAATTCCTCGAAATCTTGACGAGAAGGATCTAAGGCCATTGTTTGAACAATTCGGCAGAATCTACGAGCTCACAGTCCTTAAGGATAAATACACTGGCATGCATAAAGGTGAGTTCAGAATCATATGTTTTGACACACGGTGTTGCGTAATCGTTCGTCTATCCTCGTGTTACGGTCAGGCATGCGTGCACCCCCTACCTCTCGGTGTCAGCATTGATGTTAAAGACCACAACAATTCTTAGGATGTAAAAGCCGATTATTATTAAACCACTTGACGGTAAAATTAGTAAATCTTTCAGATTAAATCTAATATTTAAAATTCAATAACAAATAGAGTGTGCGTGATTGCGCTGAGGAACCGTCCAATTTATTTTGATTAATCACGTGTTTGTCAAGTTTCGTTTTTGGGTGAGATTTTGTCAATTTTTATGTAAGTTGCATTTGGGAGATAAATTGTGGACTCAGTTTGTTGTCAAGTGGTTTAGATTTCGCCAAAGGCAGTATTTGTAGTGGAAAATGCTTTTACAGCATATGAGGAGTCTGATATAAAATTAATTTAAAATGTATTTCTGGCAGATGCTGTTTAAAATTTTCCAGGTTTTAGGTGATTTTTGGAAACTTTTTCAGGTTTCGGATAATTAAGTCTTTTTCAGGTTTTTGCGCTTCGAATTCAAAATTTCCTCTGTTTACTAAATCCAGATTTCCTCAAGCTGGTGGAATTAGTAAAAGCTGAAAAACTGAATACCATTGTCGTTGTTTGTCACGTGGTTTAAATCCAGTCAATTACATCTTATAACTCAATTACATTACAACTTACTACTATTAAATTCCATTGGAGCATATAGGAAAAGTAGAGATTATGATGTAAATTTATTTCAAAAAGCAACTTTGGCAAATAACATTTTAAAGTTTCGAGGTTTCAGTTAATTTTTAGAAATTTCTTATTTTCTTATGTGGGAAATACTTCAAGAAAGTGACAGTTTAGTGAGTGTATGAGTAAAATTCAGAGAGTTTAATTTCAGTTTCAGTTATTTATCAGCTAGTTTATTTTTAGTTAATCACACCTTACAAGTGTGTTTGTAACGATTAATGGTATTTGAGCATATAAACAATGCGAAGTTATGAATTTAAATCACTGGCGGTTCTGCTCGTGGAAACAGTCTTTTCCGCACAGCACAACCGGTTTTTCTTTGTTATAAGATAGGAAAACAGTGTACAGGGGAGAAACATTCTCCCATTTTTGCCCTTTAAATTTTAGATGAGTTTTAGAAGCATTTAAAATTCAACTGCAAAGTGAAGATTTCGTGATGAATGTTGCAGCGAAATCGAGACAAGCATATTTTAAACATTCTTCGATTTATCACGTGTTCACCATAAGATGTTATGGTTAACTTTCGATAATTGTCGTGTAAGTAAAATTTGGAAGACTGTATCTCGATTTCTGATTTTTGACGAATGGTTTAGTCATTAGGCATTAAATGTATAGTCATTAGGATATAAATTTAATTTAAAACTCATTTTTGGGAGATGATTTTTAACATTTTTACATGATTTTTTAAAAAAATTTCTTGCTTTTTACATTGCATACTTTAAAAACTCTTTGGTATATCAAGTGTTTTCCAGATGTAGTTTCGTATTTGGGTGAAATTTCGACAGTGTGCACATGAAAATTTGCCAGTGTCCAGTAGACTATAATAACTTAGAAGTCATTTTCCCCTCAAACCTAATGAGTCATTGACCGAAATCGATAGTCCTTTTTTTTAATAACCACTTTTTGCAAATAATGCTTTTTTGCTAGGATTAAATAATACTTTTTGTAAAAAAAATAATACAAATACGTGACAAAATTTAGAGAAACATTAACGATACTTACTTTAACAATCTTTAGTTTAAAATATTTTGTTAGGCAAAATACATTTAACGTATACATTACAACTGTGAAATATATGATTTGTTAAAGAATTTTTTTTCCACATGAAGCTTTTCACCACAAATTGATGGATTCTTAAGAATTGAAATTTTGAATGGATATATTGAACATTTTAATGAAAATTCTGTTTACCAGAGTGTCTTTCTCCTGTACGTTTATTATTAAGCAATTTTCAAAAAAGAAAAAGAAGTGGGTGAGAAAATGTGACCGCTTGTTTATTTAATTGAAGTCGCCATTTTTCTGTTGTTGACTCGCCACGTGGCGGATGGAGAGGTGTAGTTTTCAGACCTACGACAGTGTAGTAGTAAAAATTTCGCTGACTGAATCTCAGTTTCTGTCAATTATTGTAGGTTTAGTAAAAGACACATTCCATTAATGTTTGTAATGTCCAATATCTTAGCACTATACGGACAACATGGAGATAACGATATAAATTGAATTTATAACGCATCTTTTACAGATGATTATTATTTTTCTTGATTAAGTCAACTTACCTTCATGACATTAAGTTATCTCTATAATATGGCCATTTCTCTGCTCCCGTTACTTTTTACAACTTTAATACTATTATTGGTAAATATTATGATTTTTTTTAACTATTCATGTTACGATTGACTAATAAAGTGAGCATAGCAGCAAATAATAACAAACATAAATAAATTGAATATAAAAAATTAACACATTGAATAAATTAAGATAAATTGAATGCAATATGAATTAAAATTAAAGAATTCGAAAGTAAATCTACGTTTTAATGGAAAAGCTATAAAAAGTGATAAATTTGTTTGCTTTGTGATAATAAATATTTAGAAGTATTCACTATACAGTTCAATTTCAACAGAACTCCTCAATTTAGTCTTAAAACAAAGTTTTCTCCCAGATAATAATTTGATAGATTCTTATTTATAGGCAAAATGCTACAGGAATAAAAAAAACACATTCGTGTTTTTTTTAATTATCTTAGAACTGTCTATTGTAGTATTTTCGCAACGCAGACTATTAGAAACCTTATTATGCCATTTTTTATCAGCAAAAACAATGACATAATAAGATTTCATTTCAAGATTGTTTACAAAAAGCATTCATGATTCAAAACAATATGTTTTGTTTAATCGTTGCATAGTTACATCTTCCGATATAGCTAATTGAATTAAAATCATGAAGATAAAATAATTCAATCCAAAAATCGTTATAAAGTTACATGATTCGATTACATATTTATATTCTACGACATAGTTTATTGAATTGAATTAAAAAATTACATGATTAAATGCAAGAACAATCAGATAGTTGCATTATTAAATCGATAAAATGATGTTCATGAGGACAATATTATTCGATAAGAAATATTAGGTGCTCGTATGGTTTGATATAATTCATTCTATGACATTCATGAAGAAAACATGATCCAATTACATAGTTATATGCTACGGCATAGTTCAATAGTTCATTCAATAACCATTATGAAAATAAATACATGCTTAAATACATTTATAATAACATGTTTAAATACAGTTTAGATCAGTTATATAGTTGCACAATTTAATGAAACTTATAAATGATATTCATGAAGACTCAATAGGAAATATTACGTACTCACATGGTTCGATCTAAATCATTCTATGGCATTGATGAGGATAACATGATTCGATTACATAGTTATGTGCTACGACGTACTACAATAGTTCATTCAAGAACCATTAGGAAAATAACATGCTTAAATACAAGAACAGTTATATCGTTGCACAATTTATTAGAACTCATTAAATGATATTCATGATGACTCGATAAGAAGTAATAGTAACTCACATGTATCAATGTAATTCATTCTACGACATTCATGAGGATTGATTTGATTACATAGTTATATGCTACGATATAGTTCAATAGTTCATTCAATAACAATTATGAAAATAACATGTTTAAATACAGTTTAGAACAGTTATATAGTTGCGCTATTTAATAAAACTCATTAAATGTTATTCATGAAGACTCGATAAGAAATATTAGGTACTCACATGGTTCGATGTAAATCATTCTGTGGTATTGATGAGGATAACATGATTTGATTACATAGTTATGTGATACGACGTACTAGAATAGTTCATTAAAGAACCATTAGGAAAATAACATGTTAAATACAAGAGCAGTTATATCGTTGCACAATTTATAAAAACTCATTAAATGATATTCATGAAGACTCGATAAGAAATAATAGTTACTCACATGCATCAATGTAATTCATTCTACGACATTCATGAGGATTGATTTGATTGCATAGCTATATGCTACGATATAGTTCAATAGTTCCTTCAATAACAATTATGAAAATAACATGTTTAAATACAGTTTAGAACAGTTATATAGTTGCGCTATTTAATAAAACTCATTAAATGTTATTCATGAAGACTCGATAAGAAATATTAGGTACTCACATGGTTCGATGTAAATCATTCTGTGGTATTGATGAGGATAACATGATTTGATTACATAGTTATGTGATACGACGTACTAGAATAGTTCATTAAAGAACCATTAGGAAAATAACATGTTAAATACAAGAGCAGTTATATCGTTGCACAATTTATAAAAACTCATTAAATGATATTCATGAAGACTCGATAAGAAATAATAGTTACTCACATGCATCAATGTAATTCATTCTACGACATTCATGAGGATTGATTTGATTGCATAGCTATATGCTACGATATAGTTCAATAGTTCCTTCAATAACAATTATGAAAATAACATGTTTAAATACAGTTTAGAACAGTTATATAGTTGCGCTATTTAATAAAACTCATTAAATGTTATTCATGAAGACTCGATAAGAAATATTAGGTACTCACATGGTTCGATGTAAATCATTCTGTGGTATTGATGAGGATAACATGATTTGATTACATAGTTATGTGATACGACGTACTAGAATAGTTCATTAAAGAACCATTAGGAAAATAACATGTTAAATACAAGAGCAGTTATATCGTTGCACAATTTATAAAAACTCATTAAATGATATTCATGAAGACTCGATAAGAAATAATAGTTACTCACATGTATCAATGTAATTCATTCTACGACATTCATGAGGATTGATTTCATTGCATAGCTATATGCTACGATATAGTTCAATAGTTCCTTCAATAACAATTATAAAAAATAATAGGATTAA